GCTGTTAAAATGCCATTCGTAAAGTCAAAACGCAAACGGGTCAACTAGAAGCAGCTGAACTGTTAAAACTTGGCTGTTTAACACAGTTTGTTATAAACTACACAAAGAGGGCTTTTTCTTGTGTGTGTACGTTTTGAATAAATAGGCAAATTTGGTGAGTTTAGCTGCCTGGCATGTTGGCTTTCACCAAGCCGGCCTGGCATTCTGATGCCCATCTGGCACTTTTCCCTTCAAGAGTACTGTTGGGCAGATGCGTCCCACCCTGGTGAGCAGTTCCTCTCTTACTCCCAAATCTTCAGTCCAGGAGGGACCAGGACAGACCTCAAGCTTTTGAGAGCAGAGGTTGTGTAAGCTCAGCGTTGCCTCAGTGTTATTGCCTGCCAAGAGGCAGGAGCTCTGGAGCCAGGAGGCTCTTTCCTCAGGAGCACCTTTCCCAGGCCACGCCCCCCACTCCAGCCCCAAGGGAAAAGGCCTTCAAGGATGCACCGTCACCGTGCCGACAGTCCGGTGCATTTGTGAGAGGGTCCACAGCTCTTCAGGATGGTTCAGGGCCGAGTGGCTCGGTTCCCCAAGGCTGTGCCTCTTCCTTCCCCTGTGGATCACTAGTCTTTGATTCCTTCTCCCTGCGGGGGTTGACAAGGTTGGCTGCCATGACACGCATGCCCTCCTGAGCTGTCCCTCCAGGGGCAGCCTCTGTGTCTTCCTTCACCCTGAAGAGCAGCTGGCCCGTCTGTAGCTGCCTGGCTGGCCTTGGTCTGCATACGGCCACTGACTCGCTGCTACTCAGCAGGTATGCACTGGTGACCTGCGGTTTTGAGGAGGATCTTTTGGAAGGAGTAAGATACCCTTTGCCCCGTCTGACTAGAGAGGCCAGTCAGCACCTGCTGCCGAGCATGCTGGAAGGACGAGACGCACGATGCCATAGGCACAGGGTCAGGAACTGGAAATGCTCCTGACCCCGTCTCCCGGCTCCACACCAGCCCTCCCCTTCTGCACGCAGGACATTGGCTGTTTTTCTTAAAATGCAGTGACTTAAAGGTGACTGTTGGGGAAAAGCGTGAGGGCAGAACCAAATTTCAGAGCAAGAAGAGGCAATCTAACTTTAAGCTGAAAATTTATAATAGGGAATAAATAAATATGGATATGCTGCAGTGTCTGTCTCTCATTAACTGTCAAAGTGATGTCTTATTTTTCACAGGTGAAGTTTGACTAGAACCCAGTGTGCAAGAGCCCAAAAAGTGAGCCCTTTCGGGTGGGAAGGCTGCATTTTCCATCATAAGCAGAAGTTTTTCTTTGAGACGCAGTTGGAAGCACTGAGTCACAGGACAGGGACCCAGGGGCCAGTCCTCTCAAACTCTCGGGGACATGAGCCAGCTTCCCCAGAGACTGAGCACGGGAAACTCTGTCAGTGTAAGATGACCCATGGCGGCTGTGAATCATCGAGAAGCTCCTACTTTGTACATAAAATCATCTGCTGCAAACCTGGTTTGGTGGTCCGTGCCTGTAATTCCAGCACTCTGGGAGGCTGAGGCAGGAGGACTGCAGGTTCTAGCCCAGTCTAGGAAACATTGTGGAACTCTATTTTAAAATAAAAAATGCTGGGGAGTTTTTCAAGGCAAAGGCTGAAAAAAGTACTGGAAAAAAAAAATCATACTCTGGAAAGAACATGAAGCATGATGCTCTTGAGTGTTACAACTTCTGCTTTGTTAATTTCTAGACATTCAGATGGTTAAAAAAATTACATTAAAACAGACTCAGAAAAGGCCTTTTAAGAGCTTTAAAAATAGGGTTAAATGGGCATAGATAAGCAGACTGTCACTTGATGTGTGTGTGTGAGTGCATGTGTGTGTGCATGCACGGGTGTGTGTGTGTGTGTGTGGTGCTGGGGATAGAACCCACCTCCAAACTACACCACTGCAGTGTGGGTGCCTTCATGACCCTTACCATGGCAAAACTCGGGGGATTATTGTGTCCCTTCCACGTGTCAGCACGGTGGCAGGCCGGGGGGCCACATCACAGACCTGTGTCGTGAAGTTCGGAGAGTAAGAGCACGATGAATAATGGTGTGACATAAAAAGCTGTCTGTGTTAGAGCTGCCGTTGAATGCTTAGTTTAGAAAAATCTTGCTTTACATTTTTCCTATGTGCCTTTTAGTGACAATTCCTTCAGCCAAAATATTGCGTCAATTGATGGAATCGCTGTGAGGATACTGGATGTGAGATACTTCACAGCTCAAATGCCATGGTTTTTAATGTTGAAGAAACTGCCGTTCCTTTCGGCATGGTGCCAAGTGTCCCAGTGCGGAGGCCCAAGGACCAGTACTTGTTCCTGTTCCTTGGGGACAGTGGTGTTCACCAGACAGAGACCCAGGGGCTGAGTTCCAGCCAGTTCTATTACTGGGCACTTGGACACTTCCCTTGTCCTGTCTGAGTCATTTCCTTTTCTGAAAAATTATAGGTTCTGACGAGAGTATCTCCAAGTTCCCCTCCAGCAAAGCGTTCCAAGTCTTTATTTCTAAGAGGAAAGTTTACCTTGAGATACTTCTAGCTACAGAAGACTTTTGTGATCTAGGATTATAATAATTAAAGAAATAAAACCTTTGCTTGCGAGATGTGTAATCGTTTTCCCAGCTCCTAAATTATCATCATTTTAAATAAGCTTGCTGCAGAGTAATTTTTTAGCGGTACAAATTGCTGCTCATGAGTCACCAGAGAGGACTGTCCTTGCCCCTGCTGCGGCCACGCTCTCCACTATACTCAAGCCTCGCTGTGGGAAGCCCTCTACACAGTAAGACAGGGGAGGCAACCTCCAGCCAGGAGTAGCTGGTTCTCTGGGCCTGCGAGAGCCAAGTCACAGAACCTGGCTTTGGACTTGACTCAACTCTCGGCTCCAAAAGCTGAGGTCTGCTCTGGAATAGAAACTTCTCTGTTTTTCTCCTAAAATACTCTTTTAAACTGTTGTTCAGTGTTTTGCTAATACTTTAGGGAACCATGGAAAAACTTAAACACCACAGGAAGACAGAATGCCCACAAAGGAAGAGGTTGGCCTGGGGTCACCGGTCTGACTCCAACAGATGTATGCTGTCAGAAATTCCCTCCACCCAGTGAAGAAGCAGCGGATGGGCTTCTGACATCCCCACTTCACAGGGCTGCAGGGCTGCAGGGGCAGCGCTGGAGGTGACGGGCAGCCAAGGGCATGAGGTCGTGCTCAGCGGTGTGCTGGGCCTTTTTCGATAGGCCACCCATCCCTCGCTGTCCCTATCCCTCGCTGTCCCTATCTGAGTAATCAAAAATTACTCTGCAGCAATCTACACAGCTGCTGGATCAGTGGGCAAATGTTAAGCCGTGGGTTTTGCAACAAAGTCCACTAAAGGCTTACACCGTGTGCAGGAGTTGAATTTGAAGGACTAAGTGCAGCTCATCAAGCTGAATGTTCTTCTGAGACTGCTAAGGACAACAGGTAATGTGTTCCATTTGCAATGTAGGCTAACATTTTATTTTATTTTGTTTTTATTTTTTTCATGGTACCGGGAATCGAACTCATGACCTTGCGCTTCCAAGGCAGGCACTGTGCGCTGAGCTAAATCCCCAGCCCCAAGGCTAACACTTTAAATAGCTCTCAGTCCCTGGGCTGGTTAGTGAGGAGGATCACTGCACAGCCCCGGGCATTTCTGGAAAACACTGGCGTTGTACATATAAGTGAAAGTGTTCTATACGACTTACTAGGACATGAGTAGCCACAACAATAAACAAGGGAAATGAGCAGCCATAACTCAGCTGGGTACAGTGGTGCATGCCCATAATCCCAGCACAATGGGAGGCTGAGACAGGAGGACCACATTTGAGCCTAGCCTGGGCAATTTAGCAAGACCCAGTATCAAAATAAAAAAATAAAAATGGCTGGGGATGTAGCTCAGTGCAAAGGCCCTGGGTTCAATCTCTAGAATTGCAAAAACAAAATAAAACAAGACAAAAACACCACAGTTCTTTTTATCTTTGTCTCATTTCCATCTTTACAACTCAAAGGGTATAGTCTACCGTTTAAGATTGCTTGTAATTGCTGGTTTTCCTGCTGCTGTTGACACGTTATAAACCATCTTATATACTCTACACATGTGCTTTCCACATTTTTGAACAGGATCTCACGCATGAGACTTGCTCATGGGGGTCCGGTAAGGGGAGAGCGTGTGCTGCCTGTTTAAGGATGTGCTCTCAGACACTGACATGCTGGTGACGGCTTGGTGTCACCCACAGCTCTTCACAGCTGTATCCTTGGCGGAGAGACAGGGCTCGAGATCCAGCAGGGGCTGGGTAAATAAGGATAAGTAAGTTGGCTGCATCAGCATAATGTAATTAGGAAAAGAACTTTTATAGGGAAACTGAAATAACATCAGTTCCATTTGGGGTAGGGTTGGGATGGCTTCAAAGCTGACTTTGGATGCTCAGAAAATGGGTTGGGTATTCCTTAGCGAGATGAGAGAGGCATTCAAATTAAAGGCAAAGTCTGTCTTTCTTGATCACGTGAGGAGTCCTGAGGAATACCAGAAGCAGATGTGTGCCCCTAAAGACAATCACCTCCTTGAGTAGAGTCATTCACATTTGGGGGAGAACATGTGTTGAAGAGATTTTTGTTGTTGTTGTTGTTTGTTTTTGTTTTTGTTTTGTTTTGTTTTTTTTTTTTTTGGTTTTTCTCCGGTACCAGGAACCGAACTCACGACCTTGCGCTTGCCAGGCAGGCGCTTTGCCGCTGAGCTAAATCCCCAGCCCTGTTTGTTTGTTTTTGGATTTTCTCCAGTACTGGGAACCGAACTCACGACCTTGTGCTTGCCAGGCAGGCGCTTTGCCGCTGAGCTAAATCCCCAGCCCCAAGAGGTTGTTAATGAATCTAGCATAGCAATATGTTGTGGAATAAAGAGTCCTCCCTTTGAAATAGCAACTCGCCCCTTTACAGAGAGGAGGGGGGAGAGAGAGGGAGAGAGAGAAGTCTCCCGATCCCCTTACCGTCAGCGACAAGGCCATGCACACAAATGTGAACCTCTTGATGTGGGATGCGGTGACCGTGTTGCTCGTGTTCGCCAGTTTGTTGCTGGGGTTATTCTGGGGGAAGAGAACAGCAGTGACGACAAGCTCTGGGGTATCCCTGGCTGACTCCCCGGGATCTCAAAGAGCATCTTGTTTTCTGTGAGGTGCCTGGCATGGGGACGCCGAGGGACAGCCTGGAAGACAGCCGTCATGCTGGGTCTCTCGGACGGCTGTTAATTCACACATGGACGCTCCCCAGACCCAACTCTGGGCTGAGTCAGTCCGATCCCTTGGCGCCAGCTGCCCACCTCGCCCTGCCCAGGGCCTTGGCCTAGAAGCCTGCGGTCCCTGTGCCTGGTCACCAGGGTCATCCTGCTGAACACCAAGCCCTGCTCGGTGACCTCTGCTGCTCCTCTCCTCCCCACCCAATGGACTTGAATGGCACTGGGCATGCAGGGCCTTGCCTGAATGGCCCAGACCCTTGTTCCCTTTGTCTCTTCCCCACGTGGCTCCCAAACAAGGCTCTTTGCTTTCCCCCAACACACAGGTGCTTTTGTTCTTCCTCCTGCTGCTGGGTCTCCTGGTTCCCCAAACACGAGTCTCCTCAAGGCCGATCCCCTCCACAGCCTACCTGTGACTTCTGACTTCTAGCACTCTCCGGGCCTCACTTCCTAATGACCCTTGGGGACAGCGCACATGTTCATCTCCCCTGGGGCCCTGTGAGGTGGTGCCTTCTCAGATGAAGCTCTATGCGCACGCACCCACCTCTTGGGCTCTGAAGCACTTGGTGCCAGAATCCTTCTTGGGCACGGGGGCTCCGACAGAGCCCCTGCTACAATCGATTGGGAGCAGTTCTTCAGCTGGCTTGGGATGCCCTCTTGCAGATCACTAATATGAGGCGTGCTGAGGTTTTCTGGGTCCCACTGCCACACAGCCTCACCCCATCCCACATGCCTGGCCCCAGGGCCAGGAAAATCTCCAGGGAAGAAGAACCCCTGCCTCATTATGGATCCAATTAGTCCAGAACCAACCAACAAAAACAAGCTCGCCACCTGGTTCCATGCCCAGGCTAATCGGACACATGCACACGCAGCCACCCAGGGTCCTGCTGGGAAGGACACAGATTTCCCTCAGTGTGGAGGCTGCAGACTCTGGAATCTCTCCCACCACTTCCCCTCGAGGGCGCCTCTGCAGCACCACCTCTGAATGTCACTTCTTAATCCTGCTCTCTGAAGCACAGCTGCCTTTCTGACTAACAGGCTACTGCCACAGAGAAGCCAACGTCCCAGCGTGCTGGGGCTCTCTGTCTCCATCCATCCATCCATCCATCCATCCATCCATCCATCCATCCATCCATCAGGTGCCCTGGTAGTGTGAGATGGGACCACCCCAAGGGAGTCAAGCAATGTCACCAAACCCACAGTGTCCCTGCACTGATGGATTATAACCCTGGCAGCATGTTTGAAGCAAATGCTGGTGCTGCCAGATTAGCACAGGTGTTTCATTTGGTTTGACCAATATACTCAGAAACACACCTTTCACAGATGAAAAGGACAGGGCAGACTGCACCAGTGTAAAGATCTCTGTCCATACTTAGCTAGAATGACCACAAGGTACTAAGATATTCTGAATCTCTTATCCTGGAACCCAAGAAGAGGATGAGGACTTCAATGGTCAGGGCAGCATACTCTGGAAGTGCCCACAGGGTCTGAGATGTTGGTGACTGTGCAGAATTCCCCCAAGTGGCTTGGTGTTGCTCACAGGCGTGTGTGGGCACGGAGGGTGAGGTTTTAAAAGGATTCTGAGTAACCTACATTTCTGGCCAGAGGTACGCTTGTTAAAGGAATTTTTCATAACTTCTAACCTCTGTGATTAGAAATAAAACAATGTTTTTCTTGGACACTCCTACTGAAGCCATACACTGTGGTATTGTTAAGTTTTATTATTTCAAGGTGGCCTGAACCAATCTCAGATGGGACACTCCCAGCCAGGAGGCTTTACCATTTCAGCACCTATTCTCGTCAGTAAGTTGCATTATATAATCTTATTCTCCAGGGTGAGAACCGACATCTAAAAGGACTTCCATCCATTTTGTTTTCTACACCTCCCTATGTATGTTCCTCAAAAGGAAAACAGTGATTTCTGTCTGGAGACTGCACTAAACCCACTGTACAGAGTGCCTCTCTCTCCCTCTCTCTCTCTCTCTCTCTCTCTCTCTCTCTCTCTCATTGGTGACTCGGGGCCCATGGGTTGCAGTCAGGAGCACTTCTCCACAGAAACTGCACCCTGTCTGCAGCAGGTGGCAGGTACTAATGGACAGACTGCTAAGGATGTCCACACCCACTTCCTGAGACAGGGGCTGGAAGGGGAGCCCTTGGCCCAGCAGGCAAGGTTGGGTGCAGGAGTACAAAGCTCACACGCAGGTTAAGGGAGCAGGTCAGAAGCAGGGGGCTTCATGAAGGAAAGATGGGTGGCCCTGCCTGTGTGGCTTTGTGCCCTCAGGAGACTGAAGGGAGGGTAGGGGAAAGTGGAGGTTCTGAGTGCAGACTGCCCGTTCCGCCAGAGCCGACCTGCTGGGGACTCCCTGACCTGCTGAAGGCTTTTCCTCTCCTCCCTTCACAGGGCTCTTGGTGGGATAAGAGAAAACGGTACCAGCAAGGGCCCTGAACCCATGCTATGGAGATTCAAGGCAAAACAACACATATTTAGACATAAACAGCAGGTTGTTTGCTTCCTTTCCATTTTAAACATTGTGCACTGCTTTTTGGTAGCTGGTGTTACATCTGTTTACGGTAAAAGCCTATAGGTTCCAATAATAGAGCTGCAATGAAGCAGACATTTACTGAACGACAAAGACAGAGTCACGACCATGCCACAGGCAACATCATAATAGTTATGTGCCTCGCTCGCTGGGACCAGCCAGAGCTGCCATCCGTGAGGCTTTCAGTTGGAATAAGTCTGCCACCTCAGAACCAAGCTGACAGTCCTGCTGAAGGGACCATGTGTGCGAGCAGGTACCCTCGCCACAGAAAACTGTGTCTGCACCTCAGCCATCCGGTATGAGGCAGTAAGGTGCTAGCTGAACTAAAGAAATAAGCTACAGAAACAAAATCTAACATGTATAATGTTTTAAAGAGTTTATCTGCCCTTTTGCAAACATGTAAATTTCCAATAGGAATCACCTAAAAAATGGCCAGAGGAATATTCAGTTTGTAAAAGCATCACAGGCTTGGCATGGAGGTAAACTTCAACCTGCTCTGGTATTTTCAGAGAATGTTCCACAGTTACCGCCAACACCCCAACCCCCTGTTAACCTTACAAAAGGAGGTGGGCTCAAGAAACAGCCCAGCGTGCCTCTGGAGACCTCTGTCCATCAAAGGGCAATTTTAAAGAGCATGTTTCTGACACTGTGCCACCCAGGTCTCACCTTGTCAAAAGCAGGATAGACGGCCCGAATTTCTGTCAACCAGCCATATGGCATGTGGCCCACAGGGTATGTGGCTGTCAAAATTGCCACAGCCTGCAAGAGAAAAGTGGGCAGCATTAGTGTGGACATCGGCAGCGAGTCCTCCAGTCGCTGTCACGCTGTGTGACAGGGCCAGCGGCAGATCCCCCATACTGGGTGACTGGCTTCAGCCGGCGCAGGACCGGCCAGAGTGCAGAGGATATGGGTAGGTGCATTGTTACAGGGACGCAGGGGAAAGCAGGTTCAGGCTTGAGAAGCCAACCCCATTCCTCAGAAACTTTGCTCTTTCCATTGTGCCAAGGAGGACCTGCCAGTCTGGTCTATTCTTTGTCTCAGAATGAAGCTGGGCATCCTCCCAGTGCACACCTCTCCGTCTCCGTCTTCTGAGGTGGCTGACACTATACATTTGTTGATGGCTTTGTGCCACTGTCTCTTCCCAACTCAACTCATTCCCGACGGCTCAGTCGGTAGGTATGGCCTGAGTTAAAAGTTAATTTAATAAAACTAATAAATGTTTCATACAGCTGTTGACGTGCTTCCATGAAAATGAGCTTCTTTTCTCTTGTGCATGAAAAGGAAGGAGGAAAACACAGCGTCTCACGCTACATCCTGGCACAGGTCAACCCTTTAACTCACTAGTCAAGGAGGAAGACGGCTCCATCTACTTTGAAGAAGGGAGGAGCAGTGCCCAGCCTGCCAAGAACACGAGGGAAGTCCCCGGCTGTGTGAACTAACTGTGGGGTGAGGAACAAAAATGAGGATGCGATCGGGTGGAGCGAGGGCCCAGCTTTCCCCTCATCACTTACCAGCTGTGTCGGGCCCCCCCTTTCTGCTCCTGCAGCAGAATGGGGAGAACAACACCCATCTTGGAGTGGTGATGGGAGCCCAGGAAATGCACACAATGCCTAACGCATAAGCAGGCGGTTCACATACCACTGCTGGCAGCTTTGAAATGGCGCTAATACAAGACAGCTTTCTGTTCATTTGTTTTAAGGCAAAGGTGGAATTCCAGCACACAGGTCATGGGCATCCCACGCTTTTTACTGGGAAACTACACCTTCCAGGTAAAAAACTGCTGTGTTACAGAAGCCACCCAAGATACCCATGACTCCAAAAACAAACTGAGGCAAGAGAACGCATTCTGCTTTTGATTTATAGGCTGCTCCTTCCCTGCCAACATGAGCTGCTTCCTAGGACATGGAAACTGGCATGGTGCTCCCGGCCAGGGACCTGCTGACAGCGCAGTCCGGGGCTCGGCCGCTCCTTCGAAAAGCCACGTGTAAACAGGAGGCCCTAATGAGCAGTCGGAACCCTCCTGCAGGACCAGCGGTGCCAGAGGCTGAGTTAATTCTCCAGGAGGCAGTGGAAGAAGAAACAAGTGAAGTCATTCTATTTGTTCATACCCAACTTGAAAGGGGGAAAAAGTGAGTCAACGCGGCCTTTGGAGGAGCTGCCAGTTTCCAGGCACACTGCTTGGGCTATTAGTGAGTGAACACAGGGGTCGTCGTTTAGGGAGGGGCAGACCGCCAAGCAGCACCTAGAGTCCTTCAGGCAGAGGATGATGGCCAGCAGGTGACAGTAGGTTGGGTTAAAACAGAGGCCCTGCTCCCTCTGGGCCCCGTCATTTCTGCCCACACACGGCATGCTCCCCTGTCCTGTGCAGCTCCGGGAGAGAGGCCCCTTGCGGTCATCATGGACATACAGAAAAGCCCTGTGGTGGAAGCGAAAGCCTGGATTCTCACCAGCTCAGCTCCTAGGTGACTCTGTCCCTTGGACACTTCCTTTCTGTGCCAGTACGAGAGGGAGGAAGTGGACGTCTCCCTCAATACTCATAATAATATAAAGTCACACGACTCTCAGTTACTGAAGAAGCGCCTCCGGCTTCCCAGCGTGACTGTGTCAGACTTTAGAACTGCAAAATCACTTGAGCTCCCGAGATGAGCTAGCAACAAGTGTTAGCCCCCGCTCCCTAAAGCTGTTACAAGTCCCCACGTTCCTCCCAAATTCACCTACCTCCGTAGCTGCAGAACTGCCCCCGAGGTCCCGGGACACAAAGAGGTTGACAATCGGCCTACTGATTCTCTGCGTGGCCAAAATCAGAGCCAAAGGCCACCAGAAGCTCAGCATCTTTCTGATTGTCGCATCTCCCTGCATTAAGAAATGAAAACGGGAAGTTCACTAAGATCTAGAAGTAGAACAGGAAAAAAAACCCTCAGAATTAAAGCTTTTGCTTTTTATGCCAATCATGAGTCAATTCACCATGCTTACCAGTAATATAAGGAAAAGCCTTCATAGACAAGCCACACTGAATTAATATAAAATGCACAGTCTTATTAGAAATCAATTCAGACAGTTGCAAACTAGTGTGAAGTCAAAACACACTGAAGTTTGACGGATCCCAACCACTATTTTCCATATAGGGAATCTCAGGCCGACACAGACCCCAGCTTCATGGCCTGAGAAGCACGTTTGAAATTAGGTCTTGTTTATATCATCACAGTGACTGGCTAGAAGCCATGTCAGTGGGAGGTAAGTCTCAGAAATAAAAAGTATTATAATCTATTTTGGAATCAGTCAGCATATATAAATGTGCCTAATTATTTCAGCACTGTGTAAATTCACTACAGAGGCTCTGCCTCTCAGAGTTTTCACAGTAAGTCACATAATCTGTTCAGAAGCAGAAACAAAATAAAAGCTTGGTAAAGAACAAGTCATTTCTTAAGACCTCTGCAGCCACAGTGGATGCTACTTTAAAGCCTGGCTTTCATCACACAATTTTGGTTTTGATTCTTCAAGAGGGTGAGAGTGGCATCATGGAATCACCCCAGCCGCTTTAATTTATTTCCCCTTGCTCGTGGCTGCATGTTGAGAGACGGATTGTTACTGTCAACACCAATTTGGTGCGGTTCGCCTCGTGGTGGAAATAACTAGGTAGGACTCCACGGAAGGCCCTACCTTGGATGGAGGTAAGCGGTCAACACGATTACTGTTTTGGCAGTACGCAAGTACTGTGTGGTCAAAGCGGGGCCAGGCATACAGTGTGGTGTTTTACTTGGGGTTACATATGATCATTCACTCCTGCCTTATAGCTACATGGAAAGAACGCCAATGAGGTCTACGACCTATGGGTAGGAAGAGTGAGATGAACAGCACTCAGATACTGTGTACATTTGTGATGGACTGAATATCTGGCCACCTGTAAAAGGTCACGTGTCTGACTTTCTTCTTACTCAGTTTTCAAGGCACAGGCCAAACCTGACCTCCTCCAAAGAGTTTCTGGTCCACGTTCCTGGGCTCCTCCCCTCAGTGTCGGAGGCTCTTACATTCTCCTGCCAGTTATGTGCTGTCTCAGATTCAGGTCTAACTGCTGCCTCTTGTCTGCCACATGGGCTGTAAAACTGCTTGAAGACAGAGATTTTATCTTAACGGTTCCCATCACGCTATGGTACCTAACGCTGGATCTGACTGGCCCCCAGGAGGTAGACACCTGAATAAAAACTGGGGTTGGCCAATGCAAAAAGAAGAGAAAAGCCTGGATCCCTGATATGAAGTTAAAGATAATAAAACTATAGGTTCTATGGGTCCTAAAACTTTCTGAATGTAGCTTAATTTACAACTGTAAGAGAGAAAGACAGAGAGAAATGTATCTCTCCTTGGCTTGAAGGGATTTGCTGGGCCTCAGTCTCCTCACATGGCAAGGAGGAGGCCGGACAGTGACCTGTAAAATCATGTCTGTCTTCGAAGCTCATTAATTCTCCTACCTCCCTTCCTGGCAGGCATGGACCAGCCCTTGAGCTTTGGGTACAGCATCACAGAGCACAAGCGTATGATGCTGAGTTCTCCTTTCTTACAGGGTGCAAAAGCATCTCGTTCTACTCATTTCTACTCAGATGAAGACGTACCCCCAGCTCGGGTCCGCTCCTGTCGGGGATGATGTCGTGGATGTTCCTGTAGTAGCCCAGGCACAGGGTGGTGCAGCGCACGAGTGCGCCCATGTACAGGGAGAGGATGGGGATGAGCAGCGGCTCCCGGCATTCCAGGTGGCTGTGGAGCAAAATGGCTACGAAAACAACCTGCGGGAGAAGCAGAAGGGATGGGTTAGGGGAAGGGGACTGGCCGATAGAGGCACAAGCCCAACCTCTGACCTGCGGAACCCCTGACCTGATGCAGAGGACTTGATGGGGCTGGGATCTGAAATTACTCTCAGATTCCTCAGCTTCACTGCAGAAACACACTCATCATTTTGTTACAGCCATCATTTAGACTCCTTTAAGGCAACTGCATTGCTGCTTAAGGTTTTCGCCTGAGAAATATCTAAATGCTTTGATCTCCAGCGGGAGAGCTTCCACCTCTGGAGGCTGGATACTGGGCTATAAGTAGCGGTGGTCTGCGAAGGTCCCAGGGCAAGGGCTCGTGAACATTTACGGGATGGAAGTCATCAGAAGTGCTGCTCAAAGTGTCAGCAGTAATTATTCTATAGCAACCAAAATTAAAGTCTAAAATATTAATGTATGAAATAGGAAGGATTGAAATGAGCAGAACCAGGAGAGACTGAAATCCTAATAAAACGTTAGTCTCCATTCAGCGGTACACTTGCCAAAGTGTATGTGTGACCCTCCCACAGCCTCTGTTCAGAGGCGTCCCGGGAGCCCTCATGAAGAAGGTTCTAGAAGTGTTCTGAGTGCAAAGGGAGGTGCCTGGGCAGGGGGATCCTCCCAGGTAGCAACTTTAATGGCCAAAGGTGCACAAGAAAATGGGCATTTTGAACACACCACCACTGCACAGTCCTGATCCAAGGGTTACCCTGATGCTCCGTTATCGAGACATAGCAAGGACAGAAGGTGGTGACAGGAACCTGGGCAGGAAAGGGACAACTTGGGGTGGTGCTCACACTCATGCACGGTCTCACACACTCGCTGAAGGCACTGTGGAGCTCAGCGATGGTAATAAGGATGCCCATGGCTGCTCCCAAGTGGACCAGCTGGAAGAGGCCTTGCTGGGACACACTATGTGTACAGCAGGAGACTGGGGCCCAGTGCCCACTTATGTATCCAATTAAAGACCCCACAGTGCCCTTTCATGCATACTCAGGGTAAGTACATCCTCAGCAAGTGGCACATTTTGCAAGTCCGAACCTACACTGTAACCCATGACGGTGATATTTAAAGGCTGAAAATCAGTTGTGTGCAAAGAAAGTATGAGAAGATCAACAGGGATCAACTGCCAAGCCCTCAGAAGGCACCTGGAGCCAACAGGATGGCTCTGTGAGACATTAGCTGGACAGGCAAGAAGGAAGAAGAGGACCTGGATGAGAAGGAGAGGGCAGACACAGACCAAGGGCAGTCAGTGTGCAGGGGACAAGGTGGCGGCCTAGAGCTTGGTGTGTGTGGGAGACAGTGGAGGGAGGAGGGCAGACCGGCTCGGCTAGTGGGGCGCCCAAGGCCAAAGCGACAATGCTGTTAGCCTCCTCTGAACTTCTAATAGATCGACGCTGTGTGCCCCACTTGTCCTACGTCTCACGTCTTCATGGCAGACTGTTTCATTTATCAATAACACTTGTGTCCTTTGCATTTGAATGCAGAATTACAGTTGCGAATCAGAGACAGCCATCACTATGTCAGATTATTTTCTGAGTAGTGAGGGTTTGCCCGTGCCGGCCCGGTGCCAGGTGCTGGGATTCACTGATAGAGAGACAGTCCCAGACACTGTCCTTCTCGGCTGAAGGTCTTGAGGAGGAGGCAGAGGCGTTCGTCACATGATGATGCAGGGAGCACCCACTGCTGGCTGAGAGCAGAGTCGGGGAATAAACCTAGGGCACTGTATTCATCTTTTTATTTTTGCTGGGACAAAATACTTAGGGCAGGCTAATTTTCTTAGAAAGAAAGAGGCTTTTTAGCTCACAGTTTTGGGCAGGGGTTGAAAGTCCAGACCGTACCCTGGCTGTGTGGCGTCATGCCCAGTGGCAACGGTGAGAATGTATACAGGGTGATAAGATCACAGCTCGCAAACGAGCTGTGACAGACTGGGGTCCCTGGGCTCTTCCAAGGACAGATGACCTAAGGACTTCTCATTAGGCACTGCCTTGCAGAGGCCCTCTCACCACACTTCAGCATGGGACAAACCACATCGAACAGCGAGCAGCTCCCAGAGCCAAAAGCTGGGGAGACACCTGCTGAGACAAGGAGCCTGCCTGAGATCTGATGGCACAGGGTCATCAGAGGGGACAATATGGCGGGACTGAGCCTGGTGGAGCCAGCCGTGGGCAGGGCACAGAAGGAAAAGGAAGGAAAGAAATGGAGTTCATGTGTGGAAACTGCTTTCCCAACAACTAACAGTGAAGTAGTAAATATAGAGAGAAGTACAGCTGCGGAGGAACGTGAGGATCCAGAGACAGCGTCTTGCTGCTGTTTGCAGATAGTTGAGTGGGTTTCCACGCCGAGAGAAGCAATCTGGGGAGAAGGGAGGAGTCACCGATGACTGGTTAGGAGGGCCCGGCCAGCCCCCGGTGCAGGACAGCTGGAGGGTCACCTCCTCTCCTGTGATGAGAAGGAGATGATGCAGCAAGGACCAAAAGGCTGAGCTGGAGCTGCCCAGGGAGTAACAGAAAGCAGGCTGGAGCTTGACACCTCTGCCCTCGTTTCTGTACCTATCTCTTTACTACCTTTAAAGTCTGCGCCAGAGTTGGCTCAGCGATGCGCACGGGCATGTGAGTCACTTAAGGAGCATCTGTCTCAAAACCAGTCATACAGGGTGTAGTAGCTGTGAACGTACCTAGTCTACCTCACCTTCCTTCCAGACTGAGGACCAGAATAACCGATTTTCAGGATTTGCAGGGACATCCAATTGAGCGCTTTTACAGGAGCAGTGCCTAGAAGTCTCCAGTCACTGTCCTAAACCTCCAGCTGGATTCCAGGAAAAGCAGAGCCTTGCAGACACCCCATGGTGACAGCACTCACCCCCATGTGGAAACAATTACCCCACAGAGGAAAGGAGGTTGCTCCCCAGGCAGGAGCCATTACCTCACGATGGGAGCCGATTTTCCCCTCAAGTGACAATGGGTCTTCCAGGACTTGACAGAACCAGCCCTGAGATACTGATCAGCGAGGCCCTGACATCACCAGCACTCTGTATGCCCCCAGAACCCTGGCCTCTGCTCCCCTTTTCTATTAAACCCCAAAGCCCTGCCAGCCCCTAGAAGACAGATCTTGAACCTCTTTATCTGTCCTCCCAGCACGGCTGCGCCGACGGAAGCTCCTTTGCTGCCCTGCCCCACCGTTTGCCCCTCAACTGGTGTTCCGGGCCAGGTGGGCAGGACTGGTCTGTTGGCATCTCTGGGGCTGAGGCGTTTGCCCTGAAACTAGGCTAACACTGACCAAAAGTCTGAAGGTGAGCTTGCAGGTTTGGTGGCTGGAAGCTGGAGAATTTTGATGCTACAATTTTCTTCATGTGGTGAAATGAAGTCATCTTCTGGGAAGCATGTGTGTGTGTGTGTGTGTGTGTGTGTGTGTGTGTGTAACAGTTCCTAAGGGTCAGCTGAGGTGAGGGAGGAGGTCTGGCATTTGTGGCTTGGTCCTTGTCCTGCTGTGTGACGGTGGGTGGGATGGGTTGAGGAAGGTTCGCGAACTGGGTCTGGTCAAGGTTGGGACTTGCGGGGCGGTTGAGACAAACAGGCAGCAGACCAGGGAGTTTACACAATCTGGGCAGATGCTGAGCCGATCGCACTGGGGGCTCAGCTGACCCTGAAGGTGAGGGCAAATGTCAGAAGGTTCCAGGAAGGGAAAACAACCTCAGGAAAATTGTCCCTTGGATACCAAATGACCACGAAATAAAGCAAACACCAGCTGTATTTTTCACAAATCCATCAGCACTGTCATTAATTAGAACAATTGGAACCGTCTTACAATACTGGTGGCACAGGAAAGCACTGCTTCCTTGAACCAAACCCAGAGCTTTTTGTTCTGTTGCACGGAATCCATCATCTTAGGACAATGTATATACTAATGAGACCTGCCACTGAAATTCAAGGCATTATTAACCCATTTAATTTTATCAGTATTTATGCCAAGGTGGTAGTTCAAAGTATTCGGAACAGGCTGTATTTACACATCACCCTATCAGGTAGGTAACAAATGCTCTCGGATAATAAGAATCAAGATGAGGCAGGGGAAACTTAGGAACAGAAATGGAATTTATTCTCCCAACCAAGCTGTGGTGGGAACTCAGACAACAAGGTTTTTAAAATAACTCTTCCACCAGGAAGAGCCCAGGGCCAGATGGCATCTGAACTCAGCCTTCCTGCTCCTCTTACCAGATCTGTTTATTCCAGCAGGCAAGGGCCAGGATCAGGTTTAAAGCTGAGGGGGAAAATGGCTGTGGGCGTACTGGCAAAGCAGTTTTCAGGAGTACGCTTTTTTCTTCTGCCCTTGGATGCTTGCTATATTTATCTTAGGCAAAGTCAAGTGTTTTCTTCTTTTTTTCCCCTTCTTTTTCTTTCTGCCTTTAAAATAACATCTCAGGCTGGGTGTGGTGGCACACGCTTATAGTCCCAGCACCCAGGAGGCTCAGGCAGGAGGATCGCTGCAAGTTCAAGAGCAGCCTGGACTACACAGTAAATTCAAGGTCAGCCTGAGCTATATAGTGAGACCATGTCTCACGAAATAAAATAATATCCAATGCAATGCAAGGCAATGCAATCCATGGAAACATCCTGGAACAGGATGGAAACTGAGAGGCGCTAGGGATCACGTCTAACCTCCTCCTCCGGCAAGAAACTTCTCCAAGCCTGATGGTAGGAACTTAGTCAACTGACAAATGATGGGAACAAAATCTAATTTTCTGAAGTTTTTCTTGTGGTCTCATCCGTGGAAGAAGAAAAGAAGAACAGAGAGCCGGCCCACACCAGCCTCACAGAACTGGCCCATAGGAAGGGAGACGCAGGCAGCAAAATGGAAGAACTGGCTCCTCAAATGCTGGGAGATGACACACAAGGGGCAGCTCTGAGTGGCACCCATCCCAGCAGTGACGCTCGGGAACAGTTCTAAGGGGCAGCTCTGTGACAGGCTGCATGCTGTGGCCAAGGACACAGAGGTGCTGTGACCACCTCGAAATGGACCAGGCGTGGTTCTGGTCATGTTCAGGCATACTCTCCAAAGCAACCGTCAAAACCCCAACCACTCTACTTCCGTGTGCTCAGCCCGATCCTCGCACAATCATACACACATCAACCAAAAGACACTTCCTTTCCTCATTCGTGTACCGAACACTCCATGGGGTAACATGCTGCTGAAACCCAAATCGAATCCTGCGGGCTCCTGTAAAGCAGCCGCCTGTACGCTTTAGAGCTGTCGTTGTCGTCAGGAAGCACAAAGGCTATAAGGCCATTTCTAGTTAAAGGTGATGGGAAAACAGAATGCAGCTCATCAGCTAAGATTTGCTTCTCCCGTAAAGGACGCCATTTCAGTACATTCTGATCCGTTTTTAAATCGATTAATAGTTTATGCATATTCATTTCCTGATTTTGACTATTATTCTCGGGCTAGGTGAGAAAGTGTCCTCACTCTTAGGAAATACACTGAGGGATGTAGAGGTAAGTGGCATCTTGTTTGGAACTCACTCTCAGATCAGAAGTAGTGGGGTGGGGAGGGAGGGTGAGAGAGAAAGGGAGGGGAAGGAGAGGGGCGGGGAGAGAGAGACAGAGGATGTGGTAAAATATCAGTGTTTGAAGGCCTCAAACAGTAAATGGGAATTTCCTTCTACTCTTCTTGCAACTTTTCTATAAATCTGAAATTGTGTCAAAATAAAAAGTTAGAAAAACACATGCTGTGAAACCCAGGCCAGGTGAAGAGGAGCACCACACACCACAGGGTTACAAAGACACCACTTATCACACCCAGCGTGCAGCTCACAGGAGGGGACGGGGGCGCTCTGCTGCACACACAAGCCATAGTTACCTGAGCTATGACATCTGAGATTGAGGCACATCCCACCAGGAAGCTGTATTTGTGTTTTAAGAGAATGCCAGCATGGGTCCACGCCTGCCAGAAAGACAAGAATTTGCCATGAGATGCACTGTTGGGGTTACACTGTTTCTTGTTACCAGGGACTGGGCTTCCCTGAAACACACCAAACGTCTCGGCAGCACAGGACTGGTAAGGCTGTAACTTGGTCTGGTGGCGAGCTCCAGTGATTTTTAAATGCAAGGAGTGACCGTTTGTCTTTATTTAGTAGCAACATATATACATATATATACAACACGCACACACACACACGCCTTACGTTTGTGAGCCTAGCAGCAAGCTGGATAAACAGCAAGAGTGGAGGACACAGGATGGCTCTTGGAGCAGCCTGCATGGTGCAGAAACAGCTCCTCCTTCGAGGAAGTGCATCGCAAGGAGGGCTCTAACCGGTCCTGATTTGTCACATCACCAGAGGTTCCCAGGGACCCACGAGGGTTCTATTTTCCTGTCCTGAAGTTTGTGCAGGATCTGACCCAGAATTCTGTGTCTTTGAGGGAAACTAAGAGAAGGTCTTAGAAAAGGACCAGACAACCCCAAGCCCAGGGGACAGCAGGGTTGGACAAGGCTTGACATTCACAATGGGGTTAACGATCACTCTTCTTACCTTTAAAGTAAGATTTGGATGGACCCAGAAAGAACATTTCATCCGAGCTAAGCACGATCAGACAAGGATACTCAGCAACCCAGATCCCTGCCAGGATTTCTTATAGCAGCTGCTCCTCTACCTCCTTCCTGAGCTCAGGGGTCCCACGGTGCCCCGTGTTAAAAGACCTGTGATCAGCACCTGTGGGCTGGCCCTGCAGTCCAAAAACCACCTAGATAATAAGCCCCACGGCTTCCAAATATTCCCTCTCCAGCCAGTGTATCATGGTCATGCTGCCTGGTGTGCATGAGTGTGTGTGTGTGTGTGTGTGTGTGTGTGTGTGTGTGTGTGTGCAGGTATGGCGGGGGGAGAGATAACTCATTCTTTATAAATGTTCATTATTTTGTTTATTAGCAGTGTCTTCTGTTATATGTTACATTAGGGTCTTTGGGAGAATTTATAGATAAACATGGGAGAAAAGGTACCAAAAACAACTGTTCTAGTGCCAGACAGGGTGAGCACCCATTATCTGAAATGTTTAGCAGTTTAAGGATTTCAGATACTGAATTTTGTTCTTGGAGTTTGGAATATGTGCACATATAAAATGAGGGATCTTGGCTTTGGACCCAAATCTCAACACAAGATTCATTTACATTTCACGTATCCTTATACACATACCCCGAAGATAACTGTATACAATCTTTGAGATAGTCTGTGCGGGAAGCAGGCATGAGGTGGAGTATGGACTTCTCCTGTTACTGTATTCTGTTGGTGCTTGAGAAGTTTTGGATTTGGGACCATTAGGAGTTTGGATTTTTGGAATAGGGAGGCTGAGTCTGTGCTGTGATTTACAAATGCTCTCATCACAAATGAAAAAAGCTGAAGGGCAGTGGAAGACAGCAGGCTGTGGTTCACTTCTAGTAACTATCCCAGCTCCCGGCACCCGGAGTGGGGTTGACTGTACTTCTCTGTGTTTAGGGTCCTGCTTCCTCTTTGGAGGGAGGACAAAGCAATGCCATGTACTTAGTCTCAGGAGTTCGGACCCAACTCTTCTGGATGCAAAGGGTGTGAAGGTTCTCTAACGAAAGGACTCAAACTGTGTCCCTGTAATCCAGGTTGAGTGTGTGACGCTGGCAACCCCAACTGCGATTTCTTTGCCCTTTTCTCTTTCCTTAGTGCCCCGTATCCGCCACCAGAGGAAAAGAAATGGTGACAAGGAAAAGAAAATGCTGCTGCAAGTGTTCAGGTGACCCAATGAGCCCAGCTAGAGTGGCCTCATAGCAATTAAGAACACAGATATTCATGCCCCAGCTAGCAGGCTGATACGTAAGGCTGCCGACCTGCAGAAAGCTGTCAGAGTGGAAGAGCCCATGCCAGTCATGTGACTGTCGGCCAGCTAAGACTTCTGATGACTTCTGAGAAAGCCAATCATATGTCTTTTTTTTGGTACGAGGAATCGAACTCAGGACCTTGCACTTGCCAGGCAGGCACCATGTACTGTACATCCTTTTGCCTCAGGTCATATCCCAGGACACGGAGATTGTGGCTTGACTCCAGTGCAAGAGTCCTACCACTTCTACATCTAATGTACGTGAAATCTGGGGTAGGAAATGATAAAAAATATGTAACAAAATAAAGTAATTTAAAGTGGAACCCAAAGAAGGGGTTTATTTTCCAGTATCGGATATTACTGGGAATATACGCTTTTCGAAAAATGTAGCTCTGCGTAAAGGTCCTGAGTTCAGTCCCCAGGTTTGATGGGGAGGGGATATCTTCACTATCAGAGACTTATGGACATGAGGTTCTTGGCTCATGTAGTTATTAAAGTAATGAAACCCTACCAGGATGTTCAAGAGAGTCTTACTCCAAAACTTTAGGTGCTTAGGCTGTGGAAGTGGTATTTATCAGAAAGCTATTCTCTCCTTGGTCCTGAAGGAAATCTCGTTCTTGCTGCCTGCAAGAACTTGTGGCAAATACAGATGAGTTTCATAAAATACACTGACAAATGGACTGGGTAAAAGCCAAGGAAAGCAGGATGATGATACCTCAAAAAATTAAAAATAGATTAGGGGTACAGTTCAGTGGTGGAATGTGTGCTTTGCATGCCTGGTTCAATATGTAACACCAGGGAATAAAACTAAAAGTAGAGTTACCATATGATCTAGCAATCCCATTTCTGATTACAAGCCCCAAAGAATTGAAACATCGAGACTCAAACAGGCATTTGTAGCTGGGCACAGCCAAATAACCTACAATCCCAGCTATAATCCCAGCTATAATCCCAACTTGGGAGACTGGGACGAAAGGATCTCAAGTCAAGGCTAGCCTGGGAAAACTAGCACAACCCTGTCTTGAAATAAAAAATATACTAAAAGGGCTGGGGATACAGCTCAGTGCTTCCTGGATTCAGTCTTCAACACTGAAAAAAGAAGCATGCATACTCCCATATTTACAGCAAGGCTCACCTTCATGGAGCCGGAAGTAGAATGGTTGTGTTCAGGGGCTGAGGAAGGGAAAAGGGGTGACTACAGAGTGAGTACAGAATTCCAGTTTTGCAAGATGAAAAGAACTCTGAAGACTGTTTTTCCTGACACTGAACTGTCCATATGGAAATGGCTTAGACAGTAACTTCGTTGTTATGTATACTTTACCATTAAGAAAAAAGCCGAAGATTTCCTGTACTTACCATGGCATCCATAAAAGGGAAGGCAGCGAGATAGAGGAAGGCCCTTCTTGTCTTATTCCCCACTGACTCATCCACATGGTGCAGTTTATTGATAATGTAGTAGCCTAAGTCACTATAAGCTGCAAAGGGTCAAAAACACATAGCAATGTTTAGGAAACAGATAATTAAAAATGTTTTGTACCTGAAAATGTAGAAACAACTTAAATGTAATATTTGTTTACAGAGGAAAAAAATTATAGGAAAATCACCTAAAATCTCGTGACCCCCAGAGGGTCATGGCTTACACCCTGGGTTCTAAGCACCCAGGTATATTTTTGGCATGCGCATTAATATAAAACAAGGTTATCTACAAATACTCATAAACCATAAGCATCTTTCTGTGATACGTTCATCTTTTGTATGCTTCTGCTTCTTAATTCATTCAACTGCTTTTTGTAGGTTTACTTAGTATCACTGTGTTCACTCTCCTTTTGTTGCACATTTATATCATTTTATATTTACTTTTAATATTATAAAAGAATGCTTACGGGGTAGTTTTGAAGCTAAATGTTTACATACATTAGTTATTTACTGCAGAAAACTTCCAGAGGTTAACATATGTTTTCAATTCCAGTTTTAAAGTTTCAAGGGCTGGGGGTTTAGCTCAGTGGCATAGTGCCTGCCTGCAAGCACGAGGTCGTGAGTTCAATTCCTGGTACTGGGAAAAAAACCCTAACAACCAAAAAAAAAAAAATTTCAGGCTTCCCAGTCTTTTCACTTCACTTCTTGGAGGAGGGTGGCCACTTGGGGTATAGTTGGCATGGTACAGTCCGGCACAAGACTAGGGGTACAGTCCTGGGCAGTGGAAAGTGACATCCGGGAGGTACTCTGGAAGTCCTTCCTATGGGAAGATTCGCCACAGGGTGAGAGTGGGATCCACAGGTCCTCACACATGCAGGCTGAGTGAATGTGCCCTTGCCCTGCATGGACGCACCGGCTGGATCCTGACAAATACCATTAGCAAAGATGGACACAGTATTGGACTACTTTTGACCTCACTGATATAGGGAGGAATGCACATGAAAATACCAATTTCTGTGTTTTCCCATGTTTTACAAGCGCTCCGGCCGGAAGTGTTCCTGCTGTTCTCACACACTCATAGCTATGAGTAGTTATGCACCTGACAACCAAGGAGAGTGTGAGCAGTCTCAGCTATGTGAGACAACAATGCCCCCACATTTCAAAGTTTGGGGAATATGTATTACCACTTTGATTGGTAAAGAGGAACAATGCTCTATTCTTTGCCAGGATTAGTCTTGGATTATAGGATTTTTTATTTTTTTGAGACAGGATCTTGCTATGTAGTTCATGCTGGCCTTGAACTCACTATGTAGCCCAGTCTGGCCCTGACTTCTTGGTGATCCTCCTGCCTCATCCTACCAAGGGCTGGGATTAGCTATGTGCACTACCACACTTCACTCTTGAATGATGGGAATTTTTGAATGACTGAGGTCTTGGCGTGATGTCCAGGATACTGCCATGCACAGAGGGATCACAGCAGCTGCAGGGGCAAGAAGATCATTTCAGGGGTAAGAAGGTGGAGCGGTTGTGATTTCCAGAGAGCATTGTTGGGTGAGGGGAACAAAAGCAAGGAGGGTGGAGATGAAAACCAGGTCAGCTGCAAAGGTGAGCAAGGGTGGCTGGGCCACTGGGGAGCAGAAAGAGAAGTCCGGGAGGGAGGGTGTCGCATGGCAGAGTGAGAAGTGGGGGAGGGGTTTAGGTGCAGCAAGGGACAGGAAAGGAGGCATCTGTGACGTCCATGTTGTTCGGATCAGGAGCCCACAGAGGTGACAGGGATGGAGGAGGCTTGTCCTTGACCTCAGAAGGCAGCAAGGGAGGGCTGCAATCTGGGTCTCAGTGAGGAAAGAGGTGCATGCGGCCTAGCCCTCAGCTGGCTGCGCCGTGAAGCCGGAATGAAGATGTCACCCACGCATGCGAATGGGCTGCTTCAGGTACCAGCTGTGGAAATCTCGTCTCAAAGTCTCTCGATGGTGCTGCTTATTTGCCCATTTGTTTCATGAACCAACACACAGTCAGCATGCAGGGACCCATGAGGACCCCCCTACCACTCTGTCCCCACCAATAAAAAGCAGCTGTGTCAGTGAACAGAGCAGTACAGCACCCTGTGAAGAGCACGGGGCCGCCACGGACAATTCTCGGGCTGCCTGGCACATGCTACAGCTGATGTAAAATGCCAGCCGAGTAGGTCTGACAGGGGCTAAAGCTGGCCACCAAGTGATGGGGGCAAGGCTGAGACCGGGAAGGACAGGGCTGTGGGCCGAACTGTGTCTTCTGAAAATTTACACATCTAAGTTCTACCCCCTAACCTCAGTGTGTGGCCTCACATAGCCACAGGTCAGTGCAGACATAATTATTATGATGAGGTCGGACTTGAGCAGGGTGGCCGTCAAGCCAGTAAGACTGATACCCTTCTAAAAAGGGGAGATCTGGGTACAGACAGATGCACACAGGGAGCCCTCCATGCAAGGATGAAGGCAGAGAAAGGGTGATGCCTTCACATGCCAAAGACTGCCAGCAGACACCCAGGGCCAGGGCAGAGGAACAGAGCAGATTCTCCCGCAAGTCCTTGAACTAATTCCGCCTGTCCCTGGATCTCAGACTTGCAGCCCACAGAACTGTGAGGTTCTGTTGTTTAAGCTACCTGGTTTGCGGCACAGTGTGAGTACAGATGAGTATAGCTTCTGGGAAAGAGAGTTACTTTCATGTCAGACTCTGGGATGGCAGCGAGACAGGATGGGATACGTGGTTTGAGCGGTTGAAGGCGGAACTTGTGGTGTGTATGTGTTGCCTGGGAATGGACCAGCAGCAGGAAGCTCTCTACCCATTGTAAGGAGAGCTATTTATTCAGCTAAAGCAGCACAAGGGTGCCTTTATGCAGCTCGTAGAGCTTAGTGGGGCCTGAGGACTGCTGGGCTCTCAATCCCTTCTCCCTGGGCAGTGTCAGGGCCCGTCTCTGCCTCTGGGAGCAGGTGGGGAGCCGCCTTTGCCCTTCTCAGGTCTGCTGCTCCCCGGTGCCAGGCACAGCAGGGCTTCTGGATCTCAGGACGCTCTTTCTTCTTATTTAGGCTCTTGCTCTCTCAGCTACCGAAGGAGAGAACTGGAGGCCAAAGACGCAAGCTTTCCCACCCACGTTTTCTTCCTTCTGCTCTCTCATGGCTGAGCAGGACTCTGATCAAAACGAGAGGTCCTTTCCACCCTGGCAGTGGAGACTGAAATTCCAGCACCTGTTTTCACCCTTCTCTCCTACCCTTTGACTAAGTCGCTCCATGTGGGCCCTGAGCTATTTCCAGCTGTTTGCCGCTAGAGCTGTTGGCTGGGGGTGATTTGCTTAAAGTGCTTTGAAGAGTCCGTAATTGCCAGGCGAGCTGCCTTCAGCAACATTTAGTAACTTCCACTTCTATCAGCTGCCTTATGGAGATGGTCCTAAAGCAACGTGTACCCCTTAGGAATGGCAGGAAGTTACAAAACAAAATTAAACCAGGTTTGAATGCAGGTTTTACGACACTGTGACAGCAAGAGGACACTCAGCCCTACAAGCCCATGGCTCCTCTGATCTCAGCCAACCAGGATGAGATACTTTTTGGAATCAGGGATTCTTAAACTTGTTTATCAGTAGCTACTATCATGTATTGCAAACCAATAAATATTAATGAAAACAAGTCTAGAGACATATATTTTTCCAATAGGAACTGAGAAAAAGCACAGCATTAGGATTAGAATAATATGTTTCCAAAATACAAACTATTTATTTATTTATTTATTCATTTATAGACAGGGCCTCACTATATAATTCAGGCTAGCCTTGAATTCATGGCAGTCCTCCTGCCTCAGCCTCCTGAGTGCTAGTATTACAAGCTTGTACCACCACGGTTGGCCCAAGATGGCAAATTTTAGAACCTTTATTCTCATTCAAATTCTCAAGTTATCAAAGCTTAAACGTCTCATCAGTACTATTCATGGATCCACTGAGTCCAGTTTATAAGGTTTTTTGTGGGAGCAGACAATTCACCCCTAGGTTTCTCATGTCTGCTTCCAGAGCTGAAAAGCCACATTTGAATCACTTCAACAAGTGTTGAATGACGTGTGTTACGCACTGTGCCAACCGGACCAGCTGTGACAGCTGTAGTTTCCTATACGAAGGTGGGGGCATCGACTTTTAACTCAACTGTGATCTGTGCTGACGACATCTGCGTGGAAGACCTGGGCGTGGGAGGTGCCAACATGGCCTAGGCCAGAGAGACTATCCCACACCCATGCATGAGGCAAGTAAAATAAATGTGAAACTTTAACACAGGATCAAAACTTCAACTTATGGGCATAAAGACTTGGTAGGGAAAGGCTCACAATAACTTGGTGCAGGTAATGAAACTCTAGACAACAGGTGTCATCATGTCTGCATACTGAGGACGTAAGCCCATGTTGGCCACACAGTAGGTAAACAAATGACAGAAGTTGATCGAATAAATGAAGGGCACAAATCCATCATCTTTCCAAGAAGCAGCTGGGGTAGTCTGGAAGCAAAAATGTCCCCAGTAACTCCATACTCCATATATCCCTACTCTGTGGTTCTACAGCTCCTCCTGTCAAAGTTCCAGCTGAGTCGTGAGCCCCTTAGCCTGGACTGACCTGGAGTATGTTCTGGTCAGTTGTGCACAATGGCAGTGATGATGCAGTTTTGTGTCTTGGCCTTGGGAGGCCTTGTGTGCATCTACTTTCTACGTGGAGTCTGGCCACAGCCACCTAAAAATCTCTACTGGAGCACAAAGATTATGTGCAACAGAGCTCAGCTGGCCCTGCAGGGGCCACCTGGGCCCACCGCTCCAGGGAGCCCATCAAGATCAGCAGAGCCACCTCCTGGCCCTCAACTGGCCACAGAGGCACGAGCCCAGCCAAGTTCAAAAGCACCACCAAGCCAATTTGGGAACAAAATAAATGCTTGTGTTCAAGCCAGTAAATACTGGGGTGTTCTTAAGATAACAACAAATGATAAGGCTTTTCTGAAACTGTTTATTCCTAGCACTCTCGTTGGTGGGCATTATGTCAAATTGGACCATTCACT